GGAGGGTAATTAATGGAGTGAGGAGAGGAGGGAAAGAGAAAGAAGGGAGGCGTCAGCAGCAGCAGCCTGTTTTCGCTTACCTGCCCTGCTGTATGCAGCAAGTAAGGCGACCTGGCTGATGGCACCATGCGACAGCCGTAGGCAGGAGGACGATTGGGGTCCTCGCTCAGAAGCCTAACTGCAGGGCAGTGGTTTTGGGCAGGAAATGCGGAACAAGTCGCAACGTGTTCCAACCCCAACCTGGAGAATCAGGAGACTGTTCGTCAGACTTCTAGCTATTGACGAACCTGGTATGAGAGACTGTGAGTGTTGCGAGGACACTCCCCAGTATATCTCAATGGTTGCGCAAACCGCCACACAACGGTAAGGCCCAATCTCTTCGTACCGGGTCTCAAAGGACGCGTTTATCAGACTAGAATGTGAGCTGCATTGTTGTATGGCTACGATACTTTGGCATTTCGGGTGGATTAACTGAGATATCTTCAAGTCTTTGACCATCGACGTCTCAGAACTAAAGCTGAATTTGGCTGGAACCAACCAACTCGCAATGCAGTGATAAGAGGCGTTTTGGATGAAACAGATGGCACTTCATTCGAAGAGTGCATCCAGTATTGCAAGCTAAGTAGGCTTGGCCGTGTGTTACACACGCCAGTGTACCGCCTGCTGAGGCGAGCGCTTTCTCCGTACCTTATTCGGAGTTGTGGCAATCTAGATGTGTATAGATATTGACGTGGTGGAAGAAAATGAAGGGCGTTGTTGTCGCTGTTCACCTTTAGTGATGGGGTTCACCTCACTCTCCCTGTGCTTAGCTGGAGACAAGACGATATTGCGCTGATGTTGTCAGTTTCTATCTAGATTGTATGACTGAGTGCTCTTCGGATGTTTTAGTTGTAGGCTAGCCCTAACCCAACCTAAAGTTGTTAGTTTGTCATGTCTGTGCTCCAATGGTCTTGCGGGCTTTAGTGGCTTGAACGTAGTTGCTAAAAGTTCAACCATATCAGGAAGTCTAACGGTGTGCATCCCGTCAAAGGACAGCGAGTAGCCGTGCTGCGAGTAATCGTATTACGAAGCGATCTGGATATGAAGTCGTGCTCTCCTGTGCGATGAGATTGTAAGACGTTTCCCTTAGGCGACCAGCAAGTCCATATTTATGGAAGCAGTGATACTGTCTTCATCCGTGTCAGGACAGTTCAGAAAAGGTAGGCCCTGAAAACTACACTCTGGCCGCCCAACGGTTGGCTGACCGCCGGCACATTATTCAACAGGGTCGATATACTTTTAAAATCAAAGTTTCCGGTGCTGTTCAAAAGACACCTGATGTGCGACCCACTGTGTCCTCGGGCCAGGTCGGCGTCGTGAAGCCAAGCAGTCAGACTGTTGCGTCATTGGCTCCAGTAATGGTCCCCCAAGAAAAAACCCCAAAAGCCGAAGCCTCGGAATTTGGAGCCAGAGGTTAGGGCCAGGGTCATCGAACAAAACCCGACGTTCTCCTACTGTCTTATGGATCAGACTTTGGAGCCAACGGCTCAAGGTGTGGTACCTCAATCAAACCCCCTTCTTTGGCTTGGGTAACCTGGAACCATCATTCATCGCTGCATGTCTTTGCTCACCTGCCTTCCGCTACATCCCCTCCAAACGATGCGAAGCCATCAACCCATCTATCGGTACCCTAGTCAATGTTTCGTTTCTAAACAGTCCCCCGGAAAGACAAACCACAGTAATCACTTACTAACATCAAGAGAGCTAATCCACATTGCAGCCTTTATGTCGAATAGGGCAATATGCATTTCTTGCTGAGGCCTTGTTTCCCCTGTCTGTCGATATGTGTTGTGATTCCGAATTACGCATAAAAGACCCCACTTTGGTCGTGCACCTCAAATCGCTTAGGACGCGCTCAGGTGTTCCTTATTTCACTCTTCAGGTATTCGGTGATCTTGATGCGATGGCTCCTGGTATCTTTGGTGTGGAAGCTACACGCAGCCCGAAGGCAGAAAACACCTTACTGGACTGAACTCGAAATAGCTCAGTGGTTAAGGCGCTAGATTACGGACCGGAAGGTCCGTAGCTGCAACCCACCCTCAGAATCTCCATTGCTCCTATATAGGCTTGCGCAACCTACAATGTCTCAGCCTTCGTGCTTCCTTCGGTTGCGGTATGGTAGCTATGCACCGGAAGGGTGTTGCAGTTGAACGATTATTTCTTATTATTGCAGCTGTCCGTCGGTAACGGCTAGCCACCAGATGTGATTCCATGGAATTCAGATTAAAAATCTGGGTATTCCTATCACGTGAACGGTTGACAATAGCCGTGGTTCCTGCTGGATAAATCAGTCTATTGGTGTCTTTGTCAGCGACCGAACCTCAGCATAATCTGACACTTGAAACGGGTTTGGACGTCAAGTCGGGCTGAGTTAGATAACCGAACCGCACAAAGATCACAGTTTACTGGAGTCCAGCCCGCTAAAGCGCTGAGTGCAAATCCTGTGCCTTACTATAGGCCATCGGTTCTTGGTTACCTGATAATTGGAGAGTAAAATGTAAAGAAAACTCAGTTCTCAATCCATTAGCCTAGTCTATCGTGATCGCGCGGAGAACTGGGCATAGATGGTTCTATGTAAGGCAGATGCGTGTAGCCCCGTCGGGCTCTCGGCAGGTTTCAGCCATATTTCGACTGTACTTGGTAGTTCGCCGGAGGCTACGGCTGGTTGTTTGGGAACACGTACGCTCCTGGGGCCCAAATCCTTTCTCAAGGAAAGTTCGCATCACTACTTCCATAAGTTGACTGGACAAAAACGTTACTAACCTCGAAATTCCTTCACAGGAGAGGTTACAATCTGACTCCCAGAAGACCCCGTTATTCTATTTCCTCTGGTACAGGGATTTGCTACCCTTGATCTGAAGGCTTGCTTGTGACCTTTCTTACATAGTCAAGTCTTCTGGATGGAATTAATTAATCAACTCAGCCTCATACACGTTATGCAGTGGTTCATCAGTAATTGATGATTTGGTGGCAGAGAGGTACACACTGAAGGTTTCAACTGAAGACTGAAATGGAGCTTCCGTATTGACGGGATGAACGTTGCGAGCATTTATTTAGGTGGTTGGTAGAAATGCACCGAGTGCATTTGGTCAGATAAAGGGACACAAATAAGAGTACGAGTATGTCTTATCTGCCAATGCCCTTAGCCATTCTGCTAAGCTTGTTTCTCTATCCATGAAGGCAGTTGTTGCCGGCACCGTTGGCTTGGCTTGTGGCGCTCGGATTTCAGAAATTAATCTCTACAGTCTAATCCCAACATCATCATCATTGTCAGCTGTAATAACCGCGTACTCATCGTACAATGGTTGTAGCTACCGCAGTTTCGTTCACCGATGATTTGGGGGGAGGGGTAGGTAGCTGCGCATTGCAGGCGGGAGCTGATAAATTGGTGTATAAATCCAGCACTGTCAGTGGGTTGTCGAGTTGGGGGAGGGGGGTTGGAAACGGGCTATGCATTGAAGGCAATAGCTTGGATGCCCGAGCGCCATTGAGGGCGCGACTGGGCCATATCTGACAATGTCTCTAGCCATTGATGTGGCCCGTCTCGGGGGCCCCATCCAGGAAGACGGCAGTGACCAGCGCAGCTGAGTTTGCTGGTAATGGCTTTCATACTTCGCTGCCAAGTCATTGTTTGACCGGCTCTGGCTGTCTTCCACCCTTCACGTGGTTTTGCGAAAAGAGCCCTTCGAGGAATTCGGTCGACTGGCATACGCAACATGTGGCCAAGCCCAACATGTATGCGATTGACCGAATAGGACCGTACGAGATATATGTTGTCTTTAAGCGACCGTCCTAACTAGCTCAATCTGCCTGGTTGCATGTGAATCATCTTTATCAGAAACCATTGATGGGTTACTTGTCTGCTACCAGGATTCCCATCTTCCGAGGCGCGAATTATTAGATGGACAGCTCGGGACTTGGTAGAAGGGCTCGAAGAAGATTCCGGAAAGTTTTGGTGCTACTGCTATTTTTCTTCCAGATATAAGTTGCTCGAGCTTTCTATGGTTGGTTAGCGCCAATTCAAAAAATAATGGCGAGTTTAGGTCGGCGGCGTATGTGATTCCATTTTCTACCCAGATTGCTTGGTTAAATTATTTGAAGTGCAGGCATCTAGGGTTTTGTGGGACAGGTCGCTCTAGACCACTTCACTTTTACACATCGAGGCCTTTGGATTAAGATATCTATGTTTGCGCAACGGTGAAACGTGGATGTATTCGCTCGTTTTACTCTACGTGAAAGTGGTATTGGGGATGACTTCTACGTTACGAAGTCATACCACGGATGCGGCAATATTTCGGGGTGCTCGGTATTCAAATGTGGTCGACCATACTTTTTGGTAGTTTGACTACATAGAGCGCACCAGCAGATTGAGTTCTGCCATTGATGGCCTCCGCCAATGTCTATTCGAGGTAATCAGTTGGTCGATTGATTGTTTTTTTTTCATCAGTGATCATTAAGTTTAGGTCTCCCTCCACTCAATATTTCTGTGACACACTACACATGGACAAGTTGAATATGGAATCGCGCTGCTGGATTGTTCAGGTTATCTAATGTTGCACGCACCTCTGTAAATTGCTCTTCAGTAATGCACACTAATTGCATACTGTATGTTAATAAGCGAACATCGTAGGCGCATTTTGTCCTTTAGGGGTTGATGGCTGGTAGGGATTCTTCCATGGTGGTAAAGAAAATTCGGAGGAGTGATGACAGGAGCTTAAGTGACAACCTTACAGGGAAAAATGAGGTCCAAGAGTGCACGGCAGAGGCTAGTACATAGTAGTTCTAGGTTGGTGCCATTGTTTTTTTTTCCTGGAAGTGGAAGGGTATTTCCATAATGACAGGACATTCCTAGGCAAAGTGCACGATAAGTTGTATACAAAACGGCCGCGAGCGACTCCGCTTTACAGCCACATGACTTGGTCGCCGTGACCCAGAGATCGAAAATGCACCTGTGCATTTCACTATTGCAGCTTCTGGGACACCGCAGATGTCAGCTGTTGGCAACGTGTTCGCTGGGCATCCACCGCTGTCTGCACTAATAGTTTACTGCCCTTGTGGACGTCTGATCCCTTTCCAGGGGTATTCAGTATGTGTGGATGCGATAACTTGATATGGTATGAACCGATTGCCGCATGTATTGACTCCCCATCGGGAATTATCAAAATGCCATAGTAGTAGTAGGGGACGAACAAAGATAACCTTGACAAACCTTTTTGCATCGACGTGATGAAATTCACCAGCACCCGGATGTTTGAAAAAGCAATCGCCCCGGATATTCAGTAATCTAGCATATGCACAAGCGAAACATTTTGATGCAACGGGATGAATTAACATACTTCCCTGACGTCCTGAGGGATCACACTTTGGGTCAACTGGCTACGTTGAATGAAAAGCACGAATAGAGTTAGCTTGTCCCGATATTTCACAATATACGGGCAGAAACGGTGTCTTTTGAAACCGTGTTGTATTTTCATTCGTTTTCATGCACCTCGTTCCAGGTTCATCTTTACTTCGTGTGGTTCCAAAAATAGGCAATGCACAGATCGCATTGGCGTGGGGTGCTTTTTTTAAACGAGATTTTCCTCTGGATAGTGGGTCAATCCACTTGGACACCAGAAACTGGCTCGTCTTTTGTTTTTTTGCCAGGAAGGTCGCATTCGCAAAAATAATGCTTGAATGAGAAAATTCAACACCAAAATCCTATTCAATAGGTCTACCGAGTATCTGGGTCAGGGGAAGAAATTTTTTGACTAGGTGCGCAAGCAGCCAACCCGCAAAGTCGGTCGATCGTCGGACTTTGATGCGTGTCCTGGATACACCTAACAACTCACCACTAGAATGCCTGTATTAAAGATTAATACCGCGATGGTCCTTGTATTTTTGCGCTTGTATGTTTACAATGAAGCTTTTGTAGTCCTCACTGGTGTCCTTTTCCGTCTCTGAAATGTTGAAACCCAGATTGTAATTAGTTGCACGCGGTCACAGATCTCCTGACCTGCATATATGAGACATCGAAGAGGACGCTTTGGCAACAACAGACCCGGCTTTTTGCTGCTTAAGTGCCTTTGTCAAGACGGAAACCACCTTAACCAGTCTTGGGCGTTTATCCCTTGCCTCAAAGAGATGTTGTGGTAGAAAGGATGCAAAGATTCTAATTGCAACGTCGGTCCGAATGATTCCACGACTGACTTCTTTTTAAGGTGCTATGTAGTGTTTCTGGAAGTGCATCGACCTTGAGGAACAGATTTTGTCCTCGATATTCATCAAAACAACTTATAGAGAGCCCAAAAAATACAGGTAGTTAGTGTTCGTAGAGGCATGCTGGAATCTGTCTTCTGTCTTATTCAGCCTTTTTTTTATAGCATTGGTGATTCCAGTTCGATCAGTTAAGCACAGCTACTCTAATCATGACCACTGATGAAATCTCCATGTTTTCGCACTGAAAACCTTTGCCTGGAAGCCTTCGTATGAGACAGAAATGTTGGCTGAACTCTCCCACTCCGGTTACGAACTCCATGTTTGATTCACTGCCTGACCAGTATGAGGAGCGATCTCTTCTGGCGGAGCGTGCGTGCTTCAGTTGCTTCTTCGAATAAACATATGGTGTTGGCGCACATTGCCTAGCTCATCTGGGATGACTCACTCATGTGAGAATTCTTCAGAACCATTCACTTATCAGATTCGTTAGGACGGGTGAGGTCTTACCTCGTGGTTTTCGGTTTCGAAAACATTCTTCGTTTTTTGGAGCTACTGAATGATGTGGTGATCACGCCCTCTGAGGAGCATTTGCTTCCGGGAATAAGGTGAAATTTGAGCTTCGTAGTAAGGAATGCATGATATAGTGTTTCTAATCTCTTTGAGGCTCACGGTTTACCCACCAGTTCTATCCGCCCATCCCATCAGAGCTACTTCCTCTTGCCGTTCGTGGTCTAGACTGAAGGCTCAGTCCTCAGGCAGAAAACCAATCGAACCTCAACAAGGTTAGTGACTAGTACCCGTCTTCGTCCCTTTGCATTGGCGGAGCACTGTCACGGAAGTATGGTCAGTAAAGCAGACACTCAGCAGACACTATGTAGTAAGAGGTTTTTTGTTATCATCTTTTAGGATGAAAATAACGTTACTCGTTTCCCCTGGGCACCCGCTCCAGGCCACACAGGCCCAACGACGTACCGACTTTAGCTAGCAACCTGGCCATGATCAAAAGTGTTATCGTTTATGAACCTTGTCCAGTAGGGATTCGAATCGTACGTAGAGAGGATCACGTGCACCCCAGCCAGTAAAACGGAACATAACACAGCACTCAGTGTGGTTTTAACTACCTTCGTTTCACGCTGTTGGAGGGTTGGTAGCGAACAGGTCATAGCCTGTTTGGAGCAAAGAACATTGATTTAACGTCCACATTACATGAATCAACTAATTTGATGTGATGGCTTTGTTTGTTGTATGGTTAATACTAATTCAGTGCCAGTCATTCACCTCCGCACCAATTAGTCGCGTACATGAGGTGGCCATCTGACTTCTGTCTTACTACTGATGCCCTTGGGATCTCCGGATTAAAGTGGTCAACTTACGCAACCATAAGGTAAGACTACTCTTACAGAAGCAGTGTAAGCACAACCCTCAAGCTTCAACAAAATTCCTTTTTGACACCGTAAGTTTCACAATTTCACAAATACTGCAAGGGCCTCGTTAATGATGTGTGTAGAACCTTCATCTACCACAATCTAATTTTGGCCAAAGCACAGGAGCGAAGCAACAGTCTGAAGCTCTTTGCTCTGAGGCTTCAAATAGACAGATACTCGAAATTTCTGGAGTGAAGGTACAAATCGTTTACCAAGACAAAAGACCTTATTTAAGCACTTTAGATTAGGCTCTGTCACCTATCTATCTCACATCCATTAGGATGCGTTTTCGTCACCAAAACTTACGGTGCTTCCAATGATAATATCGATGACAAAATTGAACAAAACGGGGAGGAAGAGAATACAACCTTAACGAACCCACTTCATAGTGAACGATCATGCGTTTGAACATGTGGGGATAGAGTGCGTTTCCGAATTTCAGGGTTATTTCGCTTCAGTCGGTTATATACGGAATAACTTACCTACTTACGTAGTCAAAAGCTCGGTGGCATGCGTAGTGCTCCTCCAGCACGTAATCTAATGTGCGCATGTGGTTGGTGCACCACCTAGTCGGACGGGATCGTGTTTAGCACTTTCGCGTTAGTGCCTAACACGCTGTGGTTGAGCGTCACACATAGCATTGTTGAAGGTAGCAGCCGTATTATGGCAAGTGCAAGACTTACGAAGGGGGTGTATCAAAAGTAATGCAAAGTTTTGTGAACTTTTACTAACCGAAGTTCATCGTTCAACTTCTGGCGCAAATCTCCAGCTCAAAGGAACGAGTCAATGTGGCCTTCATCACAAGCGCTTCGTTTCCGCCAACGTTGAACCCAACTCTAAGCTTCCTTTTGAAAAAAAAAACAGATAGGCGCTATTGTATTCACTTCATCGTAGGCAGTTTCACTTTCCTAGGGCCATCACATCGTTGTCCCAGATGAGTTTATTTCATTGGATAGCACAGACAGAAGTTGGAGGGCGTCAGATCCAGACAGTTTGTTGGATGAGTAACCGCCTACCAAACTGGTTTATCCGTCGTCTCGATTTGTTGCTAAGGTCGTATGTGGTCACGCACTTATGGATGTGAACTGTTCGGATTTGTCTTGGGCTTCTTTTCCCTTAAGATTTTTCAAAGGTTCCGAAACATCCCACTTCATTGTGTGCTGGTGACGATACAATCAGATTCCCGAAAAGGAAGGTGAATGACACTGTTTACAGCATGGCTTTCTGTGCAGATCCTGGCTCTTGAACTTCTGTAGTCTTGGAAAAAAATGTGTGGCGCCACTCAACAGATTGTTCCTTCATATCCGAACCGCAAAGGTGCACTGAAAGTTCATCCCTGATCACCATATCAGGAGAAGTCTGTCTTTGTTGGCTTGAACCACTTTCATCAGACCTGAGAAGACTTCCACTCTCCTGTCCCACGAGATCATGGAGACCGCAGCACTTTATTCGATAACGGGCAATATCACGTTTCTTCATTCCGACACCCACCTTGGTGGATAGACTGGAAGTTGAGGAATTATCGTTGCAATTGAACCACTTATCCAACACAGTAACCTATCAGTGCCATCTCACGCCCCAGCGTTCTCACCTGTGTTTTGAGTGAGGATGATACTAAAACCGAGATCCTAGCCGTCCTTTCCCATCACCCCAAACGCTATATCCCTTAAAATCCAGGTCACCTGTCAAGAAACCTATTGTCAATCCCTCCTTTAAGTCATGCAACGAGCAACTATTTTTAAAGAAATTTTTCAAGAAGGAGAGGTGTAATGTGCCCAGATGGCCATTCGGCCTCCATTACTGTTTGACATTTTGGTTGTTTCAACTACATACGCACTCCGTAGCAGTAATTGTTCTGTTAGCTGCGCTTATTGTAACGTTTGTGTTCAGAATTCGATCCGGCACTGAGCCAGCTTCCTTTTATCCTAATTTTCTTTCTTCGACTGACTGGGTAACCGACAGTTTTATACATGGCTGAACATCTACAGAGGAAGAGCTGGAAGAAGGCTTGAGACGCTGGTGAAAAACAAGCCTCTAGATATGAACTGAATGGTTTGAATCCACCTCCATCATTCTACTTTTGACTGGAATTCCGCTTCTTCTGTTGTCAGACATTTTGTCCACTGTGGCCACCAGAGTAACATTCCTTCGTCCCTTAAAATTGCCGAAAATGTGAAATCCCGTTGACCTAACTTGAAACTTTGTTGATCACAAAATTCGGAGCGCGGTTTTGTTCACATGAAGCACAGCCTAATCCACGTGACCCGCTTGCACATTGTACGTCTTCCACTTGGAATTTTATTGATTTCCACTTCCGTTACTTATATGACACGGCGTTTGACAATAACGTTGGGAATGCTACCATATCATGCACACTACTCTCCGTCCGTCTTTACTCAACTGTTTACGATCACTTTTCTACTCCATCCAACTCCAAATAATGTCACATTTGAGGGTCATTTGTGACAAAAATCAATGAACACATCGTATGCGGGCTTCACACTCTTGTGTTTGGTCACCTCGCCTACAAAGGATGTTCCCCTCACAGTTCCAAAAATTCTTTGTCATCTACTTTAACGTATCGTGATCTGCGGTAC